AATTTATTTAAAATAAAAATATTATTAAATAAAATTAATAATAACTAAGTTTTGTTTGTTCCAACTAAAATAAATCTGAAAAATAGAAATAACAAAATAAATCCTAAATGGAAATGAAACTAATATCATTTTGATCCTTGCATCACAAAAGCTGCAATCTGTTGGAGTTGTGATTCAGATAGTTTAATCCCAGAAACATTTTCGTTTTCACTTCCTGCATTCTTGTATTCATTAACTTGATTATGCAAATCTTCAACCAAATTGTGTAACTGATTAATTAAATTGTCTTGCATTTTTATAGTATCACCCATATTTGAAATCCTCTTCTCCAAATCATCAGCACGTTTTGTCGCCTGTTCTTCACGTGCTTTAATTAATTCTTGTTCCATATAGCGATTCGAAAGTCCTCCTATCCCAAGACCTCGGGCATATCCTCCTTTGAGTCGTCCTAACCCTTGCCTAAAATGTTCTATGAGTGGAATAGGAGCTGAGGAAATCTCTTCAGCATTTTCCACTTCAACAATTTGAAGTTGTTCCTATAGGAAAAAGAAGATAAATTATTATAAAAAATAGCAAATGAATATATAAAAATGATACAAATAATTACCAAAATTCTTTCCCCTTCAGGAACTTTCCACTGCTTGTTTGCATTCAATCCTCTCGCTTCCCATACTTTTGAAGCAGAAGGCAATGTTTTTGTTTCTGACCCTTCTTTCTATTATGACAATGAAAGGAAATCAATCAAAATTTATACATTAATCAATATAGAATATATATACAAAACTATTACTTATTGAAAATTTAAAAATGAGTAATTACCAAATCATGAACAATTTGGATAATTGATTTTGTGCCAGTAGTGGATGGGATTTGAACCTTCATCCTATTAAGACTATTTTTATTACTGTTGTCCTGCAATTTGATACATAAAATTTAAATACTATGATTTTTAGAATAGTAGAGTAAAAAGAAATAAATAATAGTTTTATGGTTATAATCAATTTATTATTGCCACAAAATTCTAGTACATTTGGCCAAACAACTAAATTAGCTACAATAAAATAGTTTTATGACTAAGATCAATTTACTATTGCTATAGACTTCTAATATTTATGGCTAAACAATTAAATTAGCTATGATATAATAGCCATAACTATTAATTTGTAGTTAAAAGACATATTTTTCCATAAAGTATTTTATCATGGCAACAACTAACTATTGAATTTGGAAGTTTTAGACACATTGCTAAAGAAAATATAATTAGCTATGGAATATAACCATTAGAGCTATATGTATATATTAGCTATGATAACACATTCTATAGCCAAGAATTTTTACCTGTAGATGTAAAATGCTGGCAGGAATGGGATGACTTGATCGCCCCAATAAGAATAATTACTTGAACAGGCTACAAAGATTTACCTACATCCCCGTTATTAGAATCATGGTAAATTTACTCCGGTATCTATGTTATCTACAGGCTCAGGAATCGTCTTGTCAAAATTATTACTGATTACAAAACAAAAACATTTCTTAGCCATGGATGTAATGACATGCTCAAGGTACTCTTGCAGTCATTGTATGTTGCAGGCTTTATTTATGGAAATGTAAAAAAAACTTGATTTATTTTATAAATGTGAAATATGCGGGCTGACTGTGCTAACCTCTTGATTAAATATTACAAAGAAGCAAGATGTGCAGTTTGCTTGAGCAATGAAGAAGATAATGCTCGAGCAAAAAGGGACAGGGGTAAGACTTGTCAGGTAACAGAGAAGCACTTAGTGTTAGAAACATGGAGGTGAAGTTAAAAACCAGGGGACGTGCAAGATGTTGCATTTGTTTTGATCCTTTCTCCATACAAAATGTGTCAGTCATCGTGTTCTGTTGCTGTCATTTCTATCACACTACTTGCCTTGTGGATGCTGCTCATCCCAGCAATAGCAAGAAGAGCACTAGAGCCACCACGTGTTAGCTAGAGTTAAACTACGAGTATGATAATGGTGCGAAGGAGGATGATGAAGATGAAGATGAGGATACAAGTCAGGTATGACTCGCATGCAATGTATCTTATGTACTACAGCTTCTAGTTAAGTTTTTAATGAGGCTTCAATGGATGCATGTATGAGTTGTGTGCGCAGCCCATGTAGTTAACTTGAGCGTGTTGCTTTTTCTTTCTGGGCTTGTCCTTGGCTGCGAGGTTATATTCTCCTCTCCATCTATTTTGCCCACATCTCTTGAATTGCATTGTGCATTATAGTCCATGTAAGTATCACGAAAGGCATAATCAATATTTTGATAGCTAAGTACAATCATTCTTTTTTGTATTTCAAGTTGTTGTGTGTATGTTTAAATTAAAACTAACTGAAACGGGTTTTTCTTTTTTTTTTTTTATGGTGAAATATGGATTATAAACTACAATAAAAATAATTTTATTTTTATATTTTATTTTGCTTGTGTTTATAATTATGTCTGTCAAATAACCTCTAACTTTTTCTAAAATAAAGTTTTGATGTATTCCTATTGATAAAATCAGAGTATGAATGGTAGTGATATGGGTATGAAAACATGTCTCTTATTGTGTTTGCATTATACATATATATACAAATTGTCAACTATAATCCAAGTTAAAAAAAAAATTGTCAACTATAATCAAGCTTAAATTATTGATTTTATACAAAAAAAAAAAAAACATTTACTGATATGAATTTATTTACTGATATGAACAAAAAAAAAAATCAAATATTTAAAAATTATTGCTGATTGATTGATTTCCTTAATCATCTCCTTGATATCCGGATATACCTGTCGGTCTGCATCATTAGGTGGTTGTGTTGCATTACTGACCTTGTGTTTTGTTGACCCTGGTCAACACCGTGGCACTTTGGAAGTTTCCTTGGAAATTTTGTCTACCACACTTTTCTCTCTTGGATCACGTGTGGATCACGTGGGAATCTTTTGGACATTTGTGCAATCACAGATGTCAAGAATTGGATGGAAGTCCCAATCCCGAATCAAGAGGGACCTTGGGGGTTGCATTGTTACAAGAAAATTAACTTGTTTATTTATTTATTTTAAATTATTAAAGTTTTTAATTATTATTTATATAAATTATTAAATTTTTATTTAAAATTTATTTTTTTTTAAAATTAAAAAATTTAAATAAATTTATTAAAAATAAATGAAAGTGAATACATTTTTACAAGAAGATTTTTTTTTT